GTGCTTTTCTAAAGAGGACGCAGCCCTTCGGACAAGCATGTATCTGCTCATACGGCATCTTAAGTGCACGAAGGACCTTCTGCGATTCGTACATGTTCTGTGGCAAAAGGTGACCAGCCGGAAGGATGGAGCCAATAACTGTCAACATTTCATCAAAGTTCTCTCGATTGAGGTTGAACTGGGACTTTAAGGCCATTAAGCGTGAAATGCCATCAAGCTTTGAAACTGTGTGTGGCCATGAAGGGGTTTTTTCTGCCATGAGACAACATGTCGTAATACGCCTTTGCGCTTGCCTCTGGCTCCTCCTCCGCCACGTCCTTCAAATAAGTGTGCTTCGTGAAAGTCATCTAACCAATCTGCTACCCCGGCATCAGCATTATAATCCTCGACACGTGGTCTCACCACCTCCTCTCTCACATGATCGGCTTCACCGTGGTGGGTCCACTAGGTATAGTTTTTCGTAAATCCATTCCAAGCAAGATGTGAAGTCATCACCTCCTTTGTCTGCCTCTTTCTGTTCTTACAGTTGGTGCAAGGACAAAAAACGGCAACCGCTCCGGGAGCCTGGTCAAATGCTTGCTCGATGAAAGCCTCGGTCCTGACGACCCATTCTCTGGTAATCTCACGGGTGCTCCGGCGGCCCGAGTACATTCACTCACGGTCATCCATCCTCTAACATATATATCACCAAGTAATAAATATGACCATGGACTTGCATCTACACGTCGTTCCTACCATCTAATGGGTAAGGATAGGTCCTAATCCCACCGAGGATGCATAGATGGGGTTAGTTCCACGGTCTAGTCCTATCCGAGACAGAAATTGGCTGACACCTCCCATTTGTTCTCCAAATACACGTCCGGATTGGGGAGATTGTGTATCAGGAGAACAACAGAAGAAAATCTTGTCGAAACTCTGTCTCGGATCGGAGCAGAACCATGGAAACTAACACCATCTACGCATCCTCGGGCTATCAAAAAACGTGGACAATTCAAAACAAACACGGTTATAGATATGCAAAGATGCATATTTGTAACCCTATCTCTTTCGAACGGAGACGCCTAAGCGGGTTACGTGGAGATACATGCCAGGACAAAGAAATAGTGGTTATACCTTAGGTGGCGGTGAAGTCGGGGCTAAGCGGGGCCGTGGCGGGTCGATGCGATGGCGAGGCGACGCGGTGCGCAAGCAGACCCATAACGTCAAGGAAGACGAGGTACTCGGCTAGCCTCCGACGGGATCTTCTCGAAAATCAAAAGGACACAAGACCATCAATTCAAAATTTCGGCAAGACCTCCCTGCAGGGGTGAGGTCTCCAAAACCTACAAGAAACAAACGACACGATGGGCAAGCAAGCATATATATCTCAACGGCACGATGGCGGCATGCACATATACAATTCCAACATAAACAACAATCGACAATCCCAAACGTCGAACGCCATCGGCACACCACCTTGAAACCTCCATGAAACCTCCACCACCACTTCAACACCACCCCAACACCACCACCATGACCTCCACCACCCCAGCACCACCGCCACCACTCCACCAATCCACCACCACTCCACCACCACCACCCCACCACTACCACTACCACTACCACTACCACTACCAAGAAATACAAGATTGCAATACCTAGGCGCCGCACGAGAGCGGAGACAGGCGGACGCCGTGGGGGCGGGTCAGGCGGCCGGGGATCTGGTTAGGGCGCGGGTGGGTGGACGCTGGTTGGGAGGGCGAGCGGCCGGGCGCGAATCGCAGGGAGGCGTTGCGATGTGGCCGGGCGGGAGGGGCTGCTGGCTTGTCGGCGGTGGTGGCGCGGTGTTGCTGCGGCGGGTGGCGAATGAAGGAGTGAGTGGCGGGCGGCGGCATGACCAACCAGTGGGCGACGGGCGAGGCCTCGGCTGCCGCCGGCGGGTCGGCGGGCGGCTAAGGGCAATGCAAGGCTGACAATGGGCAGGCTGCTGCAAGCGAGCGAGGCTCGGCTGCACGCCGGACAATGCGGCGGGCGTTCTACGGCTACCGGCGGCGCAGCAATGGCGGCGAGTGAGCTGACGGCTGGCGGCGGCGAAGCAGACGGGCGGCGGCGGCGGCTGCGGCGGGGCGGCGAAGGCAGCATGGCGGGCGGCGAAAGCAGTGATGCGTGGCGCGGTGGCGGCGGCAGTGATGAGCGCGGGCGGTGGCGGTTGGATAGCCTTTGTGTCGTGGCGCGTTGGATAAGACACGAGGCCCACTTTTGCGAGAGCGGATCACGGCGGCTCTCGGCAAACATCCCGCTTTTGTCGAGAGCCAGGCCGATCCGGCTCTCGGCAAACATTTTTTTTTTTGAAAAATTATTTATTTCTTATTTAAATAACTGCAATGAGCAACAAAAAAATTTAAATAACACTGAGGCCCACTTTGCCGAGAGCGGATCACGGCTGGCTCTCGGCAAACATCCCATCTTTGCCGAGCACCGGGCCGATCCGGATCTCGGCAAACATTTTTTTTGAAAAATATACTTATTTCTTATTTAAATAAGCTGCGGCTGACAAAAAAAATTTTTTTTTACTCCATGATTTTTTCAAAATAAATGGAAAAAATTTTAATCCTTTGCCGAGAGTGCTCTCGGCAAAACCTAATAAATCTTTTTTGAGAGCCACTCTCGGCAAAGAAAGGTTTTTTAAATATTTTTTTCAAAATGATTTTTTTAAAAAATAACTCTTTGCCGAGAGCTTCTAGGGCGCTCGGCAAACCCTTGATCTGAGCCGTAAAAAAAAAAGAAATCGGAGCCGAGAGCTAACAGAGAGCTCTCGGCTAGAAGGTTCTTGCCGAGAGCAAAACCCATATGCTCTCGGCAAATAATTTGTAAAAAGAATTAAAAAATAGCAAACGGCTCCCAAAAATTACGAAATTTTGTCGTGTTACAATTTATGCTTTCTAATGACTATAGAAAAAGTTTGGAAGTCCAAAACCTAATTCACGCGTGACATTGTTTGAAAATCCTAATGGATCCTTCTCAACTCTATGAAACATATTCGGAGATGTTTTGGATTGTAAGAATCGGGACGCCACCGCATGCGAAACTTTTTCAAATTTTTACCACAGCCTCCAAGTGTGGTACCATGACTTTATTGCAAATATCACAATTTTCCGACTTCGTTTCCATTTTTAAGAATTTTTAAATCGTTCGCGACATTTTCGTGGTATTCGATTAAGTAAAATAAAAGGTGAAAAAAACGTCAACAAGATGTTATTTGGCCTCAATAATGCATAAATAGCATGAATATCAATTTATACTTAATTATTTCCCGTGTTTAAATCACTCGTCGTTCAAATTTTAATTTTTACCCGTGATTAAAAAAACTGCTTGAAATGCAATTAATTAAATAGATATAGCAAATAATTACAAAAATACACAAAATTTTAATATTGAGTAGAACCTATAGTATGTGTATAGAGAAAAAAATTTAGAGCGCCCAAAATAAAAAAATAATAATATTTTTGGACAAAAGCGAGGAGAAGAGAAACACATGAAATAATAAGCACCCTTTGCTGAGAGCCATACATGGCTCTCGGCAAATAGGTAACTTTGCCGAGAGCGGCTCTCGGCAAATAATTAACGACGTAAGCCTAAATAACGCTGGAAGCCTATTGCCGTGCGGACTTCTTTGCCGAGAGGCCGGCTCTCGGCAAATGTTATGTTTGCCGTGAGTTCTTATTTGCTGAGAGCGCAGCTCTCGGCAAAGGACAAGTTTGCCGAGCATTTTTGTTTGCCGTGAGCCGTGCTCTCGGCAAAGTTAACCTTTGCCCAGAGTTTTACTTTATCGAGAGGTGCTCTCGGCAAATCAGTTCTTTGCTGAGAGCCCTTTGTTTTGCGCTCGGCAACTATTTAGGCTCTCGGGAAAGGCACAAACCTGCTAATGGAACTAATAGTTAGCAGCCCTCCAGCTAATAAATAGCAGGTATTAGCAGGTCTGTTTGGATCCACTAGCACTAATTTTAGCTGGTAATGTTTAGTGCTAATGTATCCAAACAGGCCTTTATTGTTTGTTAGTCTCATTCCTTTTAATTTTGAGAAACCACATGAATTTTTATTTTCAAAGGAAGTTTTATCTTCTGAATTTCTGTGAGACATTGATGCCATTGTTAGTACATTGACCTAACTATGGAAGAACAATCCTTACTCAAAGACCAAGTGACTATTTCATATACAGCCGTACAACATGCACTAATTTGGCCACAAACAAAATGTATCACAGATTATATTATTTTATACAATATATGAAAACATACTTGCTATGCTTTTAATTTTTAAAGGGGGCATCATTTGCCCACTTTCTTATATATTAAGCCACATTATATTAACAACAAAACAATATGCTTCAAATTTGTTTTACCAACGGAAATATTTGCCAGTGAATACATACATATACCAGTTGTGATTAATATCTACCTATCAACAACAATTGATTTACTGTGTGCCAGCAAGCAAATAATATACTATGTCTCTACTTATTGATTATATAAGCATTTATGACGCATTTTGGCTACATATAATCTTGACACACCTCACTACGCTAACTACCACAGTGTATACATATTTGATCATATCTGAGTTGTTCAAAATCATTAATTTATTTGTGGAAGAATTAACAATCAGCACACATATAATATAGGCGCTCCATTATTTGTTTTATGGCAGTGCCAGCTATGACATGGCTGTCTTCCAGAACGTTGTGGTCCAAAATTTATTACTAAATTATATTTTAACACAATAAATGCTAAATATTTACAAATGCCATCTAAAGATAAGTGGAATCCAGCTGTAAACTAGCACAGAATAATTAACTGGAATCCTGCTGTAAACTAGCTCAGAATTATTATATACTTTATTCAAATCTATGAAGATCTTAGTTTGCACTTGGATCCTATATATATGTACCTACATAAACGCTTGCATCAACACATACTACTCTAAGACTTAGCAAGAAAGCACATATTGACTACTTGCCAACAATGGTGAAGGGTGTAATCAAGCCCATCGAGAATGAGGAAACCCGCCAGATATGCTTCACCAAGCGTCGCCAAAGCCTGTTCAATAAGGCTAGTGAGCTCTCCATTTTGTGTGGAGCAATGGTTAGCTCTGTTGTCTTCTCAACCGCCGGTACGCCATTTTCTTTTGGGCATCCATCCATTGATGATGTTGCAAACCGATTCCTCAACTATTCGGCTACTTCTGATGGTCCTGCTTCGGGTGGTGAAAGCAATGATAACAGCTGGGCTGTAACGGATACTATACATGGGCTGAATATAGAGTACTCAAAGCTGCAACAGTCTCTGAACTCTGAAAAAAAGAAGAAAGAGATGTTGCTAGAGGCTACTCAGAAGGAAATGGGTGGACGTATGATGCAGTTGTTGAACACTAATGTCTCGGAATTAAGTCTAGATGAGCTGCAAGAGTTTCAGAAGTATTTGGAAGCCATACATGGTGTTGTCGAAGAGAAGGACAATAACAAGCTTGAAACGAGCCAAACTCAAGGGTTAGTGCCACAGCCACCTATGGAGACAGCTCCAGACCTGCAGTACCAGTTTGGTGATGAGCACATCAGTGCCAATCCTATGGTGTCCACAGCTCCTAGTTCGAGCAATAATGAATTCATTGATGGATTATTTGAAGTCAACGATCCCATGCTTAATGGTGATCTCTATGATGTTTGTGGCCTGAGGAATTTCCCCGACAACCAGAATCATGGTTGATTGCTACAAATTCAATATATATGTTATGAATAATAAGATCAGTCACAGATGCAAGCACTGATCACATTCACAATATGCATGTCACAAGTGTTCTAGTAGTGTACCTTCATTCTGATGGTAGATAGTTCATGGTTGTCACCAAGATATATCTATGACTTGTTGTCTACTAGATACAGGCTAGGAGTTGTTACCATTGGAATTCTATGTAAAACTTCACATGTATATGGTATATTTGGTACTATAGAGTCCAATGATGTGGTGATGTACCTTCCCCAGAATGAGATAGCAACTACTCAGAGATATTCCAATATTTTCAATGTGCATCTGCACATAATTCCTAGTAGTTTATGTACTAATATAATGTAGTTCACTGCTGGCTACCTCTGTGTTGTTATTCTTTGTCACAGGTTTCGGTCTGCTGAGGCTTTTCAGGCCGTGCGTCTCAGTGCCGTTCTGCTCTTGCTTTTTTCTTTTACAGCTGTGTGTGTCTTTGGGACTGCTGTGGTAATCCTTGGATTACTTTCGGGTCCTTGTAATGTTTCAGACTCTACTTCTTCTTAATGAAATACGTACCTCAGCCGTACGATCGTGAAAAAAAAAGGTGTACTGCTATAGGTATCCCGAACTCATGCTCCTGACCTTTTGGTTAAAATTTCTGAAAAATCTTTCATCTAGTGGGATGACAAGTTCCTGGTTAGTGACCACTACTAAATACTTCTCCTGAATAAAAATTTATATAGATTCTTGAATATGCTTTCCTCAAAATGGTAGTAACAAATATGTACTGAATGTATAAGACAATGGTACAGCTTTCACACAATTCTTTCAAGCTTATCTGACATAAACCAAAAATTAGTAACAGTCAACAATATTATCCCTGAACTCAAAATATAAATGCAAGGATAAATGACTATGCTGAATATGCTAAAAATAATATATCGACTTAATAAAATAGTATTTGCAATAATAATCTTGTGTAGCACCAGAGTATTTGAGAAACAAGAATGATTCATAAACTATTATTATTTTTTAAAACGTATTAATTTTCTCACACTACTACAGAAAGGGTTTGTAGCAACGGGATATTTTTTGATAGGGGCGGTTGGTGATGGAGCCGTCCTCCTACAGTGTGGTGGCTCGAGACCCACGAGCCTAGCCGCCTACAAATAACACAATAGGGGCGGCTGGTGATACGAGCCGCCCCTACAAATAGGTCGATTTATAGGGACAGCTCACTCACCAGGCGTCCCTACTGTTCCATTTGTAGGGGCGGCTATTACCAGCCGCCCCTGCTGTTGTCATTTGTAGGGGCGGCTCAATCACCAACCTGGCTCTACAAATGCTCCACGTATAAAGGCCTGCAGCCCCTTCTTCCTCCTCGGGTCACTCACTCCTACCGAGAAAAAAGGCTTGAGAGGCCTTGGGCACCTCCCAAAAAATTGCTCTACTAAGGGGGAGGTTTTGGTCTCAAATCCTTTGGTGGAGAGCTTGTAGAAGGTAAGAAAATGTTATTCCAAACATTTTTTGAAGTTTTAATGGTTGGTTAGTGAGTAATTAGAGTTTTACTTTTCTCTCTCTTCTATGGTGCTTGAGCCATGTATGAAGCAAATTAGACCCTAGTTTTGAAGGTACTAGGGTAAATTAGTTAGAGGAATAAGATTACACCCTTTATTAGTCGATCTTTTTTATTTTAGTGGACTATTAGTGCATAATTAGTGTCATGTACATCTAGATCTAGATCTAGGGTTTTTTTTTTATTTTTTATTTTTTGTAAATTTTTGTTTATCGAAAAGGGACTAAGTTTGCATGAAGGTTAGTGGGTAAAATATTAATTGTTGCTAATTGTTGTCTTTGAATTTGTTTATTGTAATCAAGAAATGTATATTTTTAATTAGTTATGAATAAATAGGTCATTAATTAATTATTCTCTAGCATGGTGTTTGATATGCATCATATCATTATATTTGCTAATAGGAACAATAATAATTATTTATTTCAATGATTTATTAATTTGATTCATGTATATACATTAATATATATCCAAATAATTAGTCCTTTAATGTATTTTCTTTGATTGTTGTCGTAAAAGATGGAGCACAGGAAGTCTTGGATGTATGGTTCGTTAAGGTGGAAGCCAGGTTTCCGTGAGGTGGTGGATAAATTTATTGAAGCCGCAAAGAACCATGCAATGACATTGACACGGAATAAGGATTCAATTATTTGTCCATGTCACGATTGCAAGAACCATATAGCGTGGAGAGATGTGGATATCATCAGATCACATTTGGTTATGCGAGGATTTGTTGAGGACTACACTATGTGGATTCATCATGGTGAAACGGTTGTTGTTAACGACGACGATGATCCAGAAGACAATGATGAAACCCTAGAAACCATGTCCCAATATTCAGTAGAGCTTGATGCACGAATAGATCCCGAGTTTGGTAATGAACAAGGTGGTCATGCTGGTGGTTGGGATGGTAACGACGAAGGTGGTGCCAATAATGATGGCGGAGCACGTGTCGGGGATGAAGATGATTTTGATAATTTGGAGGACATGATTCAAGCCCTTAGACCAGAGATTTTACTAAAGAGCCCGAAAAGTCTAGAAAATTTGGAAAGGGTGAAAAAACATCGAAGGAGATTGTGTATGGTGTTGAAAAGGGTTGTCCGACACACTGGACAGTGCTACGTTTTGTGCTTGAGCTACTCATCCTGAAGGCTAAGTACGGCTGGTCAGACTGTAGTTTCAATGATCTATTGCGTCTCTTGTCATGGTTGCTGCCACAGCCAAACTCGGTTCCGAAAACACATACCAAGCGAAGAAGGTCATAAGTCCATTGACAATGAGGATTGAAAAAACCCATGCATGCCCCAACAACTGTATCCTTTTCGTATGGCGACACATTTAAGTCACTAGATAAATGTCCTAGGTGTGGGGCCAGTTGGTACAAGAACAACGACCTTTACGATGGGGATCAAGCCTCCACAGGGAACAAGAGGAAGAAGGGTGGCAAAAAGGTGGTATAAGATTCTCAACCCCCAGAGGAAACTCCATTAGGCAACGATGCAAAGCAGAGAAGAATTCCTGCCTTGGTAATGTGGTACCTGTCAGTGATCGACCGCTTGAGGCGTATCTTCCTAAACTCTAAGGAAGCTACGCTCATGACATGTTGGGATGATGAGCGCAAGGTAGTTGATGATGTGATTGCACACCCGGGCAATGGTACTCTGTGGCAACGCTTCGATGACAAGCACAAAGAATTCAGCGCTGATCCAAGGAATGTACGGTTTGGCTTGAGCACCGATGGAATGAATCCCTTCAATGAGAGGAGAAGCGACTACAGCACATGGCCAGTGATCTTGACCATGTACAACATCCCGATGTGGCTATGTCAGAAGGGAAAGTACCTTCCCCTCACTATTCTCATTTTAGTTCTGAAACAACTAGGCATTGATATAGATGTGTTCCTCGAGCCTTTGATGCAAGAAATGGAGAGGCTATGGAGGCATGGGAAGCCGATGTACGATGCGTTTCGAAAGGAGGACTTCATATGTAGAGCCATGATCTTTGTTACAACCAATTATTACCTCGCGTTGTTTGCTTTGTCTGGACAAATCAAAGGGAAGACGGGATGCTTAGTCTACTTGGATGGTACTACATGGGTGTACCTAGATGCATCCAAGAAGATAGTTTACCTAAGGTACCGACGCTTCTTAAAGACAAATCACAAATATCGCAGCAAGATATACTTCAGTTATTATGACAACAAGGCAGAGAATGAACCCCCTCCAGAGAGACGTAAAAATGGGCAACACGTGTTTGAAATGGTGAAAAACATATGTGTCGTCCTCGGAAAGAAGAATCCGGATGGGACGAAGAAAGATAGAAGCACACCTCCTATCGCCGGCATACCTTTCAAGAAACAGTCGATCTTCTTTCAGTATCTGCATTATGTCTAGACTTGGAGGTCCCCATGCCATTGATGCTATGCATGTGCAGAAGAATATCTTTGAGAGTCTCATTGCTACCTTGATGGATACAAGCAAGACAAAGGATGGTCTGAAATCACGGAAAAACATGGTGCAGCTAAATGTGAAGGCAGAGCTTCACCCAATACCTGAGGGTAATGGAAAATACACTCTACCCGCGGCTAGCTTCAACCTGACCCCAGAAGAGAGGAGGGCGATATGCACTTTCCTTAGGGGGATCAAAGTTCCAACTGGATTTTCATCGAACGTGAAGAGGCTAGTGTCGATGAAGGACCTGTCAATAAAAAACTTCAAGGCTCACGATTGTCATGTGATGATGACAGTGTTCCTACCCATTGCAATCAGGGCTATAAAGCCAGAGTTCTTGAAAATGACCATCACCCGTATGTGCTACTTCTTTTTGAAGATCTCACAGAAGACGATTGGTAAGAAAGAGCTGAGTGACCTACATGATTTCATGGTGGAGACCCAAAACCAACTAGAGATGTGTTTACCTCCTGCTTTTTTGATATAATACCACATCTCATGATTCACATAGTTCATCAGATACAGGCCCTGGGCCCTTGCTACTTGCATGAAATGTGGTCCTACGAGCGGTTCATGTCGATTATAAGCCGATACATGCATAATCGAGCATACCCAGAGGGCTCCATGATAGAGGGTTATAGTACTGAAGAAGTCGTCGAGTGCTGTCAAGAGTAACTAAAAGTACAGAGATGGATTGGTAAACCCGATTCTCATCACAAGGGTAGGCTGGCTAGGAAGGGCACCAATGGGAGAAAAGTGTTCATCGACAATGATTACAAAAAAGTGAGTCGGGCGCATTACAGTGCCTTGCAGAGTACAAAACTGATACAACCATACATTGATGAATACTTGGCTATCATTAATGAGGAGAGAAATGGCCGTACAGATGAGTGGGTTATGAAACAGCACAAGCAACGATTAACTACATGGTTGAAGGACCAAAACATACCGAGAGAAACCACAGATGATATTACCATCAG